TGGGTGGGGGAGGGAGGGGGAGAGAAGGGATCTGACACATGTAAATAAGGTATTAAAACCCATCTTAAACCCTCTTTTGAATTAAAACAGATTGTGTTTGTTAAAAAGGCTTGGTTTAGATTTAAGTAGACAGAAGTAGCTCTCCCTATCCCTGCATAATGGGCAACACTGGCAAAATAAGGTCTGTTACAATAAAATACAATAGACACTTAAATAAATAATCTTAAAAAAACAACCCTATATGTGTGTTGAGAGTATGGAAGAACCCCAGCAGGCTGCACCTGGAATGGTATTTTCTGCACGAGCAAGATTAGGCATACCTCATACAGAAACTGGTGTAAACAAGGACAGTCAAGAACCAAGAGTGAGGGAACAGGAAGAGGGAAAACCAAGAAGAAATCCTGACGAGGTAGCAGTACTCTCTACCCAGTGCAGAAAGTTCTGCTTATGAATAAAACCTGACTTTATGACAAATTAAGTTTGGATGATCATGCAGAAGACAAACAGTTACATGCTTTTTTAGTTTTAGACGACACACATTCATTCCCTAAAATCTGCTGCCAATTTAGTTTGATAGTGTCCGCTGGCTCAAAAAAAATTTACTTTTTTTACATGATGAATAGACTATTGAACAGAACACTGTACATGCTTTTCATCTACAAAAAATATTTGCATAAAATAGTGTTAGTTCTCTGTACATGTCAATGGACACTTTAACTGTGTATAAAAGAGGAATATATTGCCCCCACTGAAGTCAGAAAAAGCAAAAAACCAAAATCTAGATTATGAAACCTCCATCACCGGCAAATACGTTCATGTGAAAATTCAGCAGAAATAGACAGTTGCTCTAAACAATAAAAAAATTAAGTTAAACTTTTTCTTTGAATGTAAAACTTGTCACCATGTCAGTCAAGACCAGAACATATCACTAAAGTTAGTGTCTGTGCTGTAAAGCCAGATAACCAAGGGCATAGTAATGAACACAAATGGCCAGGAAACTCCTTCGGTGCATGCTGACAAAGAACACTGTTTGGTGGCAGGCCGCACACTATCTTTACCAGGTTCCAGGTAGTTACGGGCCACATATTTAAGTGTTTCATCCAGCAGAATGACAGGTAGTGAGATTTTCAATACCATCAGCCATTGCGTCACATTCAAAGGTGTGATCTGGAAGATAATCTGAAAGAAAAGCCAAGCGTTACACCTTTTCTCCTCCTCCATCCCTTGCCTTAAGCTCCAGACAAGTTTTTGCTCTATCTCCAAACTCAGGGATGGGTGTAAGATAGGCACACTTACTGGCAGCGGTTCCACATAAAGGATAAGGAAGTGGAGTGACATGGACAAGCAAATAGCGCCCACGAGCCAGATGTTTTCCCATGGGGGCATCCTCATCAAGGACTGATTTTCTGATAGACTGCAATTGAAACATGGCACATATGTGTACATAAGATACCAATAGGAAATTCCATAAATCAGAAAACTAGCTAGAAAGAAAAGCAGCATGGCAAGTCACAATTATCCCAGTCATGAAGGAAAGGAAGACACCAAGATATGGTTTATTTATATTGCAAATTTAAACTACCTTGGAAATCTGCTTAGCAAGGCAGTCACAGTTCAGCCGCACATTTATTTTTGAAACCTTTTGTGTGTTCTGCTTATTCCTGATCTAGTCTACCTTTTCGCTAAGACCCCAACATCCTCTCCGTGGGAGGGGTACACGAAAGATGGCACGACAGCGTAAGGCAGAATCCTCCCCAGTCTACTGTATGCCTGGGGACCTCGTGCACCCACTTCTTCTGAAGTTCATTTAACAACTGGGGGTTAAATACAGAGGGTCAAGTACTTGCACCTTCTTAATGCTTGTTCCTTAATTCTGCTCTTCAGATACAATCTGCATTTAGGCTATGCTGCAGAAGAGGCGGAGATCCAGAACATCAGATGTAGAGCAATATCTTACTATGTAGGACTACCGCAGTACACTTGTATTTAAAGTTTATTTGTTTTTAAATTAACTGACCTCCAAGCTATTTGAAGAAAAATACCCTTGACATTGTGCTATTTAGTGGTTTCCATTTATAATCTAATATTAATTGGCTAAACCCACATTCCCTTAGGGCAGGAAAAACTATTTTCCATATCTTCAGCATTCTTATTTTAGTTCTCCTTGGTATCACTTTATACCAACATAGGAGAGATAATCTGATTGATTAAGCTTAGATTAGAAATAATGGAAAACATTTCAGTTGCTCATGCTTAGTAAAATACCAGAGTGAATTGGCAGACTTAAAAATATACCTTATGATAAGAGATCTCCAATGTTATCTAAGAGAGTCATTTTGTTTGCACTACCAGGATTCAGAAAGGAAATATGACTCGTTCTTCATTAGCTGAGCTGTCCATACGCTAAGAATCAAACTGCACAAAAGGCAGGATTTTGGATAAGCTATGCAGAAACTTTGCTTTCCCATCTGGACATACGAACCTGTTGAGAGCATTGCACATCTCTATGGTGACCAGTACAGAAAGAGCCATTGTCATTGGATACGGAGACTCAAAAACCACACAGTCGACACCAAAGAAGTCTGGATTGTCCTCTTTGCACTGCAGAAAATGGCTCTAGAACAGAACAATGTGAACTCACTCCCACAGCTTGTTGAACTTTTACAATATAAAATAGGCAATTAAGAAATAACCAGTGAGTATTATGAAAACAAAACTTTCTAACGACTCCTATAAGCACTGGTTTTAAACTTTTGCCAGCTTCAGAAAAATCCCTGTTAGTCTTTTACTTACAAGACAACAATCAGTCCTTCAAATTGTTTAGAAGCTCAGGTATCCCACCTTCGAGCTTTAGTATTAAGACTAATCATGATCAAGTTTTACAGTAACAAGTCTGAAAACATCTCATTATGTAGATTCCTGTAGCCTACGGTGTTTCTACAGTCATTTCAAGTAACAAGTAAGAAAGAAGCATGCACCTCCCTTCTCCCCCTCGAATATTAAACTGAGCAAATACCAGCTGATAAAAGGTAACTCTTGGACCACCATCAGCAGCGATAAACCACCAAGCAGCAGCACCCACTGTGGCAGCACCAACATAACCTTAAAAAAAAACAAAGCACTTTTTTCAGTGTTGTGAACTGTATGCAAGAGAAGATCTCACTCGCCACACTTAAACTTCTACCTCAAGACCTCCAGTACCGTAAAAAAAATAGATTGTAATTCCTCTATCTCCTGTGCAAGAAATCTGCTCCACCAGTTGTAACTTAAATAACCATTAAATACTTTACTAATATCAGCTTATGGAAGCTGACAGCTAGAAGTTAAGGCAAACAAGGATATCACTTGGAGTAATCAACCTGCAATTTTTCTTTTGTCCTCTCAGAACCCAATGCGTCTGTACTTATATGAACTAATACTGAGCTTTACTTACTCTAATATCTACGAAGTCAGTTAGGAAAATTAAGGTCACAACTTCTGGCATGAAGACAGTGTGCATTAAGTATCCACGTAGGTACTTACTCTAGCTTTACAGTACAACACCTATATTTAAGGTTTAAATCTACGCCCGTTGACTTCACAAACTGATACGATTTCACAAATTGATACTCCTTTATTTTCCCAGATTACAGCCATGCCAGCAAACCTGTTGTGTTCTTCTACTTGAGCACAGAAGTGGTAGGTTAGATACATGACAGTTGTCATTTTCAGATTTAGAAATAGTTCTATGTATGACCTCAGTGGCTAAGGCAGGTGCATATTCACTAATTGCTGGTCTTGGTTCTTCAATCCCAATCCCACAACATGCTCATCTTCCTAAGCTTGTCCATGCAATAACTGTCAGCCTACAATCTGCTGTCTCAATGCTTTGAGCTAAAAGTCTTTCAGCCTGGAACGAGTCAAATGGGCAAAGGCAAGTAGGTGGCTGCTTGAGAACAGAAGTCAGACTCAGCCCCGAGTTCATCCATTCCTGAAGGGCTTCTTTCTTTACGAGGACTGTAACACCATCCACTATCAGACAATTTTGAAGGTCTAATCCAGTATTGCATTATATAAAATTTCTAATGGTTTCCTAGTTGTCAAAATCAAAATATTCTGATGAAGTGGTGAATGTTATGCAACTAAGGCTTTGGTTGCTACCAATGGGGGGGGGGAAATCACAATTTTACTGTCCCGATCACGGCACTGCCTGCAAATGTGCAAAACAAAGTATGAATCTTGAAGCAAAATAAAAGGAAGAATACCAGTTCACATAACATCTATTGCTAACTTTCAAGATTAGACAAACTGCTTTCAAGTGGATCTCAAAAACACCCAATTTACCTGCCTAAGTTTAGTTAAAAAAAAAAAAGATAGAAAAGCTATTACTACTTACATCCAATAGCTAGGTAACGGAAGAAGAGCCATCCACTGATCAGTGGCTCTTTAGGGTTGCGTGGTGGCTTATTCATGATATCAAGATCAGGAGGATTAAAGCCCAGAGCAGTAGCAGGGAGACCATCCGTCACAAGGTTTACCCATAACAGTTGGACAGGAATTAGAGCTTCAGGAAAACCCAGGGCAGCAGTCAAGAAGATACTATAAAAAAACCCACCAGTTATAAGCTTATTCCTGTGCATGTAAATAAGTCCTTTTAATGCCTAAGCCTGTAGCATCGCTTCTGTTCTCTTGTATGGAGTTACCTGTTCAGTATCATGGGCTGAATATTCACATTCAGAAAACTAAAAACATATCCAATAGCGAACACGTCTAACCACTGGCATATAAGTTCTGAAGCTTTATCTTCTTCTGGTAACTTCAGGAATCGAAGAGTTTCTGCTTTAGCCTTGTTTTTTCCCCACTCTACTTGTCCATATAGGTATATATATACATACATACATG